GGTGCGTCCTGGTGCTAGTTCTTCACTCTCCCTATTCCATCCTACGCCCTGTTGCCGTGACTTGGCAGTCTTGTGTTATTGTTATGCCTTTACCCACCTGTGACATTGCATGCTTCATTCTACATTCACTCTATATTCTGGACTTTGAGCTGCCTCAATCTCATCTACTTAATCTACTTCTCTTCTTTACAGAATGGTGTAAATATATGTTTATATAATAACAGAAAGCTGCGTGAGGAAGTAGAAAAGAACGGCAAAAAATAGATTTGAGTGGATAAAGTAGATTAGCAAATAAGTAATTCTCCACAATCCTGGACTCCTGATCTGCTCGCTCTACAAAAGCAGACTAGACGAGAGGCGAGTAAACCACAAACGGTAGTATCGATGTAGATATATAATTCTATCTTACCTGCCTTCCTTGACTCCAGTCTTCTCTGCCTACCCTACTGTGTTAAAAAGATTGGTAGAAGAGAACTGACTTGAGTGAGAAAACACCATGGCACTGGGCAAGGAGGCAGAAACAATCTGAGATATTGTAGAGTCAGGGAGCTTACAATGTGAAGCTGACGGCTGAGAGCCAGAAGTGTAGAGCAATTACACGCAAAGGGAAAGCTGCAATCCAAGTACGTCCTTGCCCTCTCTGTTCATGTATCCATGCAATTCCTGTCTGCCATACACTTGGCGTGCTGTCTATACAGATATATTCTACTCTCTTCATTTCTGTATTACTCGTCTTCCTTTGCCAAGCATTTTATCATTTTGCCAAAGATTTGCGCCAACAATTGCCAGATCGAACCGTGTGGAGAGCGTGAACGGTGTGGAGAGCGTGGCACAGTGGAGTGGACCGTAGAGACTGGACCATGTGTGTCACCCAGCTCTCCGAGAGCACCAAACGAAGGAATGCAAAAGTCTCAGTCGGGAAGAAACTGATTGTACTATATATTGTATACAAGAGACTCTGTGGATCTCTCTTGTCTGCTGTTGAACATTCCAACAAACTAGTTGCAAGTAGTGAAGTAGCCTCTCAAAAGAGCTCAACCCAGTTGCGACAGCAAACCTTTAGGAAAATCAATCCCTTTTGTCTTGACAAGCCGCTTAAAGGGGTCTCACAGCCAGCCATGCCAGTTGGGAATCAGCTCAACACTATACGCATATCAGACTGTTTACTGGCCGCTTGTGATACACATGCAAGTTGATGCTTTTGCTTTGTGTGAAAGACTAGACAAAATTAGTCGATATGATATGTGGTCATCCCTTAAGAGGATTCCACAGAAGACTATCTACTGTATTAGAAGTAGAATTTAGAATTGCCTAGCTTCTGTGGCACAGAAGAACAGCTGGCACCCTAAGTGAACTTGTGAGGCTGGACTCTGATGGTCTTTTCCTGGGGCTAGAATCTGATAAATTGTCTTGCTTGTGGAAGAATGTGATATTTCCTGTGGACATGGTTGATGTTGAGTGCTTGAACTTGTTTGCTGCAATAGTGTCATCGCAGTGCACAAATGAATTTCACTAAGTGCTCTTGACCGTGTAGAACTGCCGTTCTTGCTTTTCTCAGGGCGCGAGGATTCACAGCAAAAGGTGAAACTTAGACATATGGCAAATCGACGGCTATGGGCTTCGTTCGACCACTTTGATCCGTGCTGCCCTGATGCTCGCAGCCCATTGCCCCGATGTGGGTGAAACCGGCGATCAATTTCACGCCTCAAGGAAGCGATGCTGGAGAGAGTCCATGCTGGACGCTTTTTCTTGCCCGGGAAAAGGGAGGGTAGGCCGTAGTAAGCCTCAGTAGCTGTAGCAGGCCAAAAAGTACAGTAGATACAAGCTACTAAGCTTAAAAAGCTACTACCCAGGATGCAGGCTAGGGCTCTAGCTTCTTCAAGGAAGCTCACCCCACCCTCGGGAGCTTCCTTGAAGAAGCCTGGGCCTTACTCCGGGGAAAAACAACATAGACCGAGACTCAATTTCAAGTGCGCTTTAACATGGACCACTGGAAACGGTGACTTCCTGGGATTATTAGCGCCTCTTTTGGCAATTTCTGGACCCTCACTAACATGGACCGTTCCCACTCTCAGTCTATGATCGATTTTGACACTAACATGGACCAACTGCACTCTGACTATAAACTGAACGCAGGCTAACATAGACCGCGCCGGTAGAGGTCAACATAGCCCGGTGGAGGCTAACATGGACCATGCCAAGTACCCGTAGGGCCCACCATGGCACATCTGAATTTGGTCTAATTAGGTTAGTCTCAACGGTGTCCGCTCGGAAACTAGACTAGACTAACATATGCCAAAAAAAATAATGTTCTTTCTTTGGCCAAAATGTTAGTTTTCACCGGTGTAATGATTCGGTTCCTAGATTTCCCTGGGCAAACTCATCTTGAGAATCTGAGCATCGCCAGTTGCAGTCATCGGAACAAACAGGGTCCATGTATCACGAGCTCACACTCAACTCCTGTTCTGTCGTTCCTGCATACTTCCACCAAGTTGCCGCACGCGAAAGCCCAGGCAAAGCCTGTGCGGCACACCCCTCCTCCTGAGCACAACTCTGTCTTTAGCTACGGAGTTCCTCAATGCCAAAACAGATTCAACGGCTCGACCGCTCTGAACACACTTGAATACTCTGAACACGGCTGAGTCGGATGAATCTCAAACCTGGGATCAAGCAGCTCGGGCGCGGCGAAGGCTCTTCACCAATGCCCAGACTTGTGACTTGGCCTCCGTCGATGTTTGCAGCGGAAATGGAGCAAACACGCGGGAAGTGGGTCTGATGATGTCATTTTTGAGTTGATTGGCGCCGTTGGCCTCCTCTACGGGTAACTCTTCGGCTGCGTAGGTTGTCCCTGCGAATGCAGCTTCATTCAACAAGGCACGGGCAGGGGCTATGAGTGGAGGAGCACATGATCTAGCTGCGACTCTAAGTATAATTAGCTTTCAGCTTTGAGGGTGTTACAATGTGTTACACAGGGCATCCCTTGAGACCACTTCCGAAAGGAAGTATATAAGTTGACTTCAAAATCAAATCCTGCTGACTACCACTGGCTCCAAGCTCCGGACCCAGCATGCGATGACAGGCGTCCAGCTCTTTGCTATCCAACAAGCTAGACCTAAGTAGCTATCCAGATCCGGCAACAGCTCTTCCATGAGCGTGTGTGTGTACAAATTGAGAGCTTCCGTGCTAACTAAATACATTCTCTTTCTCAAGGTCAGGAGGGACGAAATTCTGCCCGACTTTTCAACCCTCCTTCCATGACTATGTGTCATAACTATATTTGTGTACAGTATGTATATATAAATATGGAAAGCTCAAAAGCGTTGCAGAAAACCCACGAACCAAAGCAAAACACGTGAGACGCTCGGCACGAGGCTGCTCTAAACGTTGCATGAAGTCTGGCAAGCCCAAAGTTTCTGTGCCCGCATAAGCCTACAAGACCATGGTTTCAGAGTCATGAAAGGGCGAGACAGCTACCACATGAGCTACCACATGTTACCACAGCCAGCTTTTGGCCTCATCCAAGACTGCATAGAATTTCTCCTCATCCTCAACCACTCGATTATCGCTAGGTTGTGTTGAGACTAATCAACTTGTCTGCACTTGAAATGGATATTGTCTAACTCACTCAAGTCCAACTCGATTCTCTTCTCAAATCTTGTAGATCGATCAAGCAAAAGAACTGTCTTGAACTACAATTGTCCTGAGCACTTGTGTCGTTCTTCACAATCGCTTTCCTGGGCAATTGCCAGTACTGGAAACACCGTATGTTGCCGATCCTGAATTGCATACTAGTTGTGACTCGTGCCCCCAGTCTTCAAAGGCTAGCTGGTGCCCGTGATGTTGCAGGATTTGTAATCGATGTGTCATGGTCAAAGTTATCAACCTTGGTGCCATGGGTGTGGCTAATGCGGTCCAGACTCTCGAAGGACAACATTGACCGAATGAGGCCAACCTGGTCAAAAAAAAAAAATGTCAAACTTTGCTTGAGGAACAAATCTTAAGTTTCAACTGAAACTGCTGAAGAGCACTTGGTGACATAAGTTTGTCAACTTCTGTTCTCAACAGCAGGTTGAACCGAGGCACTGCTCGAGGGACAAAGTTGGAGTAAGAGATCATGTTATCCGCATTCACCTGCACTGGTCAGAACGAAGCTACTAGGAGCAAAGGGCATCGCTACTAGGAACAAGGACGCTACTAGGGGCTCCTGGCCTTACTACTAGGAACAAGAAGCTACTAGTTACTAGGAGCAAAGGGCATCGCTTGATTTCACCAAATCGCCTCAGCTTCACTGAGCACGGTGTAGATCTGCATACGCGTCAAACCCAACATGGCCTCGGCAGTTCGTCACAGTGGTGACAAGCTGCTCGCGACCCCTGCCCTGCCTGATGGAGCAAGTCTCTCATCTCGTCGAGACCCAACATTCCGGTCATTTCGGTGTCCTGCACAAAAATGAACAATGAAGCATGATGAAGTTCCAAATATGTCGGTCTGGCATACGGGGCTAAGAGTGGGTTTCACTGATGGAAACAAGGACTGGATGTGTTTTCCCAGCTAGCCGACATCTACAAAACGAGAAAATGGCTTTGATGCCTTGGCTTTGAACAGGTCCAAGATGTACTGGGCCAGCTCATCATTCTCCAGCTCGGTCTCCAGCAACCGGAGCCTGTACCAGGAGTGTCAAGGTCAAAGCGCGCAAAAGTTGTCTCTTGTATTTCTACACAGCTAAGGCAAGAGCGATGCCATTTTTTGCAGCAAGTCAAAGGCAAATGGCACAAATTCCCTGTAGGAAACATTGCCATCGCGGTCCTTTGACCAGCTGTGCGTGGCTTCAGTTCATCTCAAAACCTCTCCAACACAAAGAGGTATGACATGTCCATTCCTGGTCCACCTGAAACATGATGGCGTTGATTTCGCGGCGAGTAAGCCTAGCAAGCGGGTGACAATGTTTCGCTTTCGAGGCAAGCACTTGACTGAGATCCTGGCCCAAGCTCCATTGAAGTGAGCGCAGCGACAAATTCCTGGATCGATTATATATAATTTCAGGTTGGTCCCTGCCAATATCTCAACCAATGATCTTGCAAACAGAGCCAATAGCAGTGCTCCCCTGATCCAAAGGCCTGCTTGTTCAAAATGCCACTGTGATCCTGGTGGCACGCAGTACTGGCCGGCTCTTGACACAACATCGGCTCTGCGCAAAAGTTGTAAACGCGAATCCAACATTTCTGGCAATTCAACGCGACGTCATTCAACTTGTTGTTTTATGTTTTATGTTGTTTTTCTATTTTTAGCATGCTCTTACTAATTAAGTAAGGGATAGTAAGGGAGTAAGCTCCCAGCTGGGACGCAGGATGGCTCACACTCGCACCACCAAGGATTTGGTTCCTAGATTTTTAGGGAAACTTAACCTTTTGTGGTTTTAGGCCCGAGTGCTAGGAAGCGGCCTAGGTCTATGCTGAGTGCAGGCGAAGACAGCTACAGGCTTCTACCTGTCATCTGAGGCAGTGTGACTTGTACACTCCCACCATCTGTCTGCTCCTCGTCCATGCGCTCGAACATGCTTCCCACCAACGCCGTGAGCTCCTGGAGAATGGCGGCATGAGCAGCATGGGGCATCCGCTGCAGTTGCTTTCAAGAGCAAAGCACGTCAAGTAAAAACACACTAGTTCTCTTGAATCTTTCTGGCCAAGTCTCCTCCCTTGACATGCCATGCACCAACAGCTCTTCGGCTTGCAAGTCCACGTCAGACTTGGTCCAAGCTGGTTCAAACTAGGCTGTGGGGCATTCAAGAAAACACCTTCCGATCAGGCTATTAGGGCTTCCTATCGGGTGCAGGAGCTTCTCATATATCCGATCTATATACTTCAGATTACTTCAGAATGATTGCGAATCAGATTGGACACTTTGCTGAATTGTGGCTCTACCGGCTCTACCAGGACAAATCGCCTGTGGTCCAATATCACTTTAGCCAGTCTTAGATGATCCTGCATATTTCACCCACAAGTTACAGGACCTCATCAGTTTCAACCAGTACGTCTGCTATAGTGAGGCAACCTGAGAACTGAGGAGCGGGCCAAATGCTGCTCAAGACGTTTCTTGGCATACCTCATGCGAAAAAAAAAATCACCGCAAATGAAGAGTAGCAGTTTGCTAAAGGCCAAAGTGTTCAACAATTTCAGAGTTGATATTTGATCGCGCAGTTGCGGGGATCAAAATGTCCCGCTGAATTGTAAGGCTCAACCAACTGAGGCTCAAGTCTCTGTCCAAACTTTGAGCTACAGCTATATAACATTATATAACTCTCTTCAACAAGCACCGCACATTCCCTGAATGATCTGCAGCGCCAAAGGAATAAACTCCTTGCAAAGCGTCTTGACAACCAATCTCTGGACGCTTTGCAAGGCGCCTCGTACTCGATCTTGCCATCCGCATTCATGTCAGCCTCCACTTGCGTTCCACGGTGTTCCACTTCCCAATCCAAGCTTCGTCACTCACTCCTGCTATCTAGCTGATAGCCTCTTTTTTGTCTCACTCTTAAGACCGGGGGGGGGTAGGTCCTTGAAGAAGTGCTCGGAGTGATTTGGTTCCTAGATTTTTAGGGAAGCTTAACATGCCAACCGCCTCTGCCAGAAAGAGCAGGATCTCATTCTTGGGAAAATCCAGCCGTTGCCTCGGCAGCTTTCGTCCAAAGCCAGCTTTTGATGACAATGAAGAAGAACTACAGTCATACAAACACAAAGTCCTCCTTCACTGTATCACAACCAATAGAATGCCAATTGCCACAACTTCCACATAAGTGCATTTGCATTGTGCTTAATGTCATGCCGATTGATATATTGTGATGAAATATGATGAAATTCCAAAAGGCCTTGCCCGAATCATTCCATGATCTGGAAATGCTTGACGAGGTAGGAATCAGTAGAAAAGGACATGGTAGAAAACTAAAAGTATGACTCTCCCCTTTCTAGTGCTACAATCCTTGACAACCCTGAATCCTGAGCAGTTACATCAAAGCGTTCACATGAAGAGAGACCGAATTTTCAAGAAATGCAAATTCTTCAACATGAGGCTGACCAAAAAGAATCCAACAATACCAGGGGTATTGGTTCAACACCAACAATACACAAATCGGCACATTTCTCGTCATTTCTCAATATGCTTCGTGACAGGCTATGATGCAACAAACCTCCCCCAATGGGAGAAGTCAACAATATCGCACTGGGCTCCCGCTCTGCAAGTCTGACATCAGGGCCTTGAACTCTGATGGATCCAAGAATTGACTTCCGTCCTGCCCGGAGAACGGGATGCGTCCAGGATGTGGTTTCCAACTGGATAGCGCACATCAACCTGAAGATGCGCATGATATGTAACAGCATAGTATTGTATTTTATATTAGATTTTAATATATGTATGCATACACACGGCAAAAGCGGCGGTCCTGGTCATACTTCTTGAACAAATCGTTGATGATGGCTTCAACCTCATCTAAAGACCTTGCAGGTGAAGCTCAGCGGCCAAATGATGCAGTTGCCAAGTGTATCGCTACTAGTAACAAGTGCATTTCTGCAGTAGCGCTTCTTGCTACTAGTAGCGATGCACTTGTTACTGGTAGCTTCTTGTTCCTAGTAGTAATGCCAGGAGCTACTAGCTTCTTGCTACTAGTAGCGATGCACTTGTTACTACTTGCGATGCCCGTGCTTCTAGTGCCAATGATCCGAGCTGAAAACATGTCTAGTTCCTGGGCAGCAGCTGCCTCACAGCAAAACACTCTGCAAATCACACTGCCTAAGGGTGATCAACTTTGAATTCCAACGTCATTCAGCCTAGACAACAACATTCCAGCTGAAAGCCAACTTCAAAGCATGGCCTGCCCACCATCTACCGGAAGTCCGCTAGCCAAACATTCGAAGTACCTGCAAATTCAGGCCAGCCGTTGGATCTGGCAAACGCAAGAATTCTGGCTTGATCACCAGCAAACAAGGTCAATGTCAATGCAAGGGCTCTGCCAAACCATCTTCGTGCGCACTTTGCTGCAAATTCATTGATATTCTCGGGCTGCGATCGCAGCACTTCGCGGGTGAAGTCCTGCAACATGGCACCTTCAACCCTGCTTCACTCTCGAATCAACCACTCTCAATGATTTCTAATGCGAAACGTTCTCATCTGAGAATCCCTGATTCCCCTTTTTGTTGCTAGGCATGACAAAGCAAAAGAAGTCCTTTAAGATGTCAGGGAACTCAGGCGGAACCTGCCAGTTGTGCCATCTGAAACTCAGCTTATTCTGAAACGGCCGCCACCTGGTACTGCTTTGCGAACTTGCTGGACCTAGGCTCTCGAGCACTGAGAGCAGTGCCTAGTTTGAGCTTGTGAAGCTAAGGTTGAAGGACATGCGAACGAGTAGCTATAGGCAGTGCCTATACGTAGCTATAGCTGCTAGCAGGAAACATGCGAACTGCCGAGGCGCACATCCAATTGTGCATGCTCTTTGAGGCCCTGGCATTGCAGCGAATTATGCGCCCCGCAGCAATCCGTCTGAGTCTTGAGAAAAATATATTGAAATTCCTGCAAGCCATCTCAGAGTTGCTCAAAGCTACTCCGATGTTGCTCCTTTTGCAATCTTTTGCCAATGCCAATTGCTTTGAGTCAACTGCTACAAGCTTTGGACAGCACCAAAGGTCTGCAATCAAGATCGGAACTCTTTTCCACTCATTCAGGTCTGCAGCCTCACCTTAAGTGACGATTGCCACCTGCTTCAGTCCTTAACATCCCTCGTGGGTGAAAGGACCGAATCAAAGAACCCAAGAGCGTTCCAGTTCAAAAGGAAACAAAAGGCGTTCTTCCAGTTGAAGGAGGTTGTTGCTAAGGTATACTGGAGTGGATCCTTGTAAGACTGGAACGTCCACAACATAAAGCATGAAAGCAATGTGCCCCTGTATGGTACACGGCATCTTGAACTACCTAACTCCGAGGCAGGATGCATCAGGTGCACAGATTTGCCTATCTGCTACCCTTCCATAGAGTGAACCTCAGCAGCCAAGCGCATGCGACGTGCTGGGTGGCCCGGCTTACACCCAATACAAGGATCCTTCAACGATCGAAAGCTATCTAAACGACAAATGGGTCCCATCATATAAGGCACGTGTCCAGTTCCTTCTGTCCTTGCTCTCCTTGCTTTAGCCCCGCCTCGCTGCCCGGCACTCCAAATCATGAGCTTTCCTGAGTTGCCCAACGCAAGAGTATTTTTCAGTAGGCAACTTCTTGATGCTTAGATGGTTGTGCCTCAGAAAAAAGGGTGCGACACGAACACGAGTCTGCATATTGTTCTTTGCAAATGGGTTTGGAGTGCCTCTTAGCTTGCGTGTATGTCAAGTTGAAGATGGTTTGGCAACAGACTCCTGCACCCTTCTTTTCTTGCAAACATCACCAATCAAGATGTCAAAAGCAAATGTGCTTGAGTGATGACAAGCAGCTTGAATACCCTGCCATAGTCGTACGCTTGTTCGATCAGCAAAGGCTTGTTGTGAACCTGTGAAGCCAAAGCAATAGAGAACCCCCCACTTCGACCCCTGCTTGCGAGAAAATTATCTGCTAAAACATGCTAAAACTGATGGGGCCAGCTGGGTCTTATGGGTTTTCCTATTTCAACACCCGGATCGAGACTCAGTTGATGTCAAGGCAGGTTGCTGAGAGGCCACACCTTGCGGTACATTTGCAACACCTCCTCTCTCGAAAGCTTCGCTCGCCTCTCCTCGCATGCGAACATACAAAACCCTCCAAATCCCCAGGCCTAAAAGAAAGGAAAAAAAGAAGAACAGCAGCAGCAGCAGCAGTTTTGCATTTTGAACATCCTCCTTGTGGGCAGGATACTACTGAGACCGTGCCAGGGGCTCTCGCACATGAGCCAAAAACCTTCCAGGAGCTTTAAAATGCACTCACACCTGTATGAATTCCTGCCAATCGGACCTTCGGTTGCCTAGAGACTTTCGATCCAGACTTTTAACCACTAAGCCTTGACAACACATAGTTCTTGCGTTCACCATGTCATCCAATGACCATGGGCGAACCATGATTTGCTGTTACTTTCTGATACCCTGAAAATAGGTCAGGCTGAGTTGGGTTGAAACAAAGATTGGCAAAAACACCGTTCCCTCAAAAACAGTTTTGCAACATTGTCCAAACACTGTAAAGTTAAGATACAGTTAGTTCACTAGAACTGCGGAGTGACAATATTATTCTCAACATCCTACGCAAGTCCCACGCAACCCTGTCGTTCAAACGACAGACATATGGCACCCTGGCACAGTGTGGTCAACATCGCGAATGATCTTGTGAGAGTTTTCCCACCAGGTTGGTCAAATGCCTCATCCCAACAAACTATTCAATGCGTCAGAAGAGCTTCAAACATGCAACATACATACTGAAAAGGTATAAGTTACGTGAAAAATAGTCCCTACATCCAGCTACACAAAACGTGTTACTTCTCAGCTTTCATAGGAAACTTCAGCTTGTTAATGTTGCCTACAACGGCGACGTGGGCTGCTTCAGCACAAAGAATGCCCAGCAGAATGCAAAACTGCAAATGGAGATATGCCATTTGGAGTAGCAAGTAAGTGAGTTCGTTACCGCAAATCGTCGTGCATTTCGAGCCAAACAGGCAAACTCAAATGCTAGTGTCACTGCGCATAGCAAATACGTGGACTGCACCGAAACTTCCAACAAGTCAATTCAAACATCTTATTACTAGGAGCAATGTTCGCTACTAGGAGCAAAGGGCATCGCTACTAGGAACAAGAACGCTACTAGGGGCTCCTGGCCTTACTACTAGGAGCAATATAGTTGCATGAGGACTGAAGCAGTTCCTCTTCTGCTTTCACTGCTGCCATCTTTTCCTGCACAGGATTCTTCAATCTACATATGACTTATGTAACGTAGCACAGAGCCAGGACAGCTTTGCCACAAGTACAAGGCTTAAAGCTTACGCATGTGTCGAGGACTTGACTTTCGTTGCCTCAAGGGCATTCATAGCCTTCTCTCTTCGCTCAATATCTTCACGGTCAGCATTCAGCTTTGCTTTCACCTGCATTCAGCACCACCTCTCTGGGCCGCAACGATCATCCCGTTAAGAACTCAACGTGATTCATTCAACGCGTTCATCGGACTCTTTAAGCGAAGCAAAAAAAACAAAGAGTGTAGGATTTTCTTACACCCTGCTGGACCCTCCTGGCTTTTGCTGTTGACACATAGGAGGTTCAGTGACCATGGCGGTCCACCTTCTCCATCATGGCTTCGTGCTTTTGCTGCTCCATTTCCTGTAGGCAACGTGTCAGGACCCACCCAAGTTTATCTTGCTTGTCAGACCGTTCCAGCAACCAAATGAGGTGTTGGCTGCGACAAAGTGAAATCATCTAGTACTTTGTGCAGAAAGATTCCCGTCCTTGAGCCATTTTTGATACTCCGCTGTCTTTTCGTTTAGCTTTTCCAAGCCCTTTCTCACCTTGTCCGCCAGCGGCGAGAGTGTATGTTGGTGTTTGCTGGAGAGAGCCTTCTTCATTGGTTTGCCTATGCTGCCAAGTATCATTTTCCTGAACGATCAATGCTCTTTGCCTCCGCAGGTGGTTCGACACTGGCAGTCTCTTTCAACCCTCACTCGAAACATCCTGGGTGCCCCACGCCGGAGTGTTCACGGCCTGGGATGGCAACGTGAACTTCGGCTTGCTGACAGAGTCCTTGGATTGCCGCAAAAAATATGCGCATGCCTTGAGGCAGGGATTATGACCACTTCAGGCCCCTGAAAGCTAGGGCAATCGGTTGCAAAGGTGCGTCACTGTGCAATTCTGGTTCAACTATCAAGGACACTTATATATATATATATACATAACCGCCAGCCTAACGTTATCGACGCCCTACTCACAGCTGACCATCAACGATGCTCAACCGTAACAGCCAGCTTAAGGTTATCTTCTCCACATCGACGCCCACTCAGCTAGCTAAAGCTTTCTGGACAAATGGGCAGCTTCAACGTTTACAGTGTGTGAGATCCACACAGCCCACTGCAGGCAACCCAAAGAGTCGTACATTTCATGCGGAAAGCGTCCATCCACACTACATTATATACATAAAACGCCACAAAAAGATCGAAATGTCAGGTAGCCGGTGGCACACGAAGCGAAGTAAACTTGGTACACTTCTCGATGCAACCGAAGGCGGTCTTTTCCACCTATGGCGAACAGCGAGGGTCGCGGGGTCCGGCCTGTAGTCAGGCCTGGGGCATCTAGTGCCACAGTTGGCCGAAGGGATCCCTTGATGGCAGCGGAAAACATCAAGGGTCAAGGCATGAACGATCCGGAAGCGAACTTGTCGAATTCGAAGCAAGAAACTTCACATGCCCCGAAGTTCGCTGTTGGATCTCTAACCACGTTGGATCTTTTAGATCCGGGATTTCAGAGTCCCTCTCAGCTTGCTCCTTCTTCTTCACCTTCTTGGCGGCCGTGAAGGTCTCATCGAAGACCAGGTTCCACCTTTGCTTCCCTTTGAGAAAGCTTGCGATGCCGTCTGCAGCAGACAGCTTGGTCATGCCATCTGCAAGCTGCTGGTGAGAGTTCACCCACCTCAGAACCGTGTTCTGCTCCTGCAGTTGCTGGTTCAGGCCCATGACCTCCAGCGCCGTGTGCTTCTCTTTTGCAGACAAATTGGGCACATCCTCCTGCTTGAGCATGTCGAACAGGGCTTTGGCGTCGATCACCAAGATGCCAGCTGTCTTCTTAGCAGTGTTGCTAGGATTGCTCAAGTCCAGGTCCTCGCCCAAAAGCTCTTGCCACAAAGCGCGAACCAGAAAAAGCTCTGCTTCACATTCTGCAAGCGCTTGAGCCTCAGCAGCCAAGCTTGATCTGCACACCCTCTTTAGTTTGTGGGTGCTCCAACTCACCAAGCTGACATGCCCTTGAAGTCCTTGGACCATGCTCTTATTCACAAAGCCAACCACATAGCCTCCCGTCGATGACAGGTCGATGCGATTTGCAAGCGCTGCATCACTCCAGCCCACAGCCACGATGTCCTCGTCTAGTGAGGCTTTGAGGTCATAGACCGACACCTTCTCCTCCTTTTGGCTGTAGAGCTCTCGGACAAACTTGTTGATGTCCTTGAGGATGTTGCGATCTCCTCGCGGCAGCATACTCTGCAGGTGGCTGAGTTTCGCAGCATGTTGTGGTCCAGTTTGGTAACATCTCCATTGGGCTGCTCCCAACACTGCACGGCATTGGTGAAGCTCATTCTTGGTCAGCTCCTTGCCATGACCATCTTCTATCACCTGGTTGAGGCCTTCACAAAACTCTGACTGACTCAGATGCCAGGTGTTCTTCTCGTCTTGGCTCATCCAGACACCGCAATGCACCATGGGCGGCACCTCCCAGGGACTCCACTTCAATGAGTTGAAGAACTTTGTGAGGAACTCTCCCCACAGCTGATCCTCCTCATCACCCATCAGCAGGAAGTCGTCGACGTGCGCTCCAACTGCTCCATGAACCTTAGTCCTCCCTTGCTCATCTCGTCGTCGTAGCACCCAAATGCTCGGGTCCACATGAAGACGATGAAGTCCCAACTGAGCAAGGATACGGTCCACGTGGTGGTAGAACTCGCGAGGCGCAATCGTCAACCCGTAGGCTGCTTTCATGAACTGCACTGCTTGTCCTTGCTGAAGTCCCATAGCCTCCTGGAGTTCAGAGACCGGCATTCCAAAGATCTGGCGACGTAGTTGAGTGTCACCACCCTGCAAGAAGGCAGCTTTGGCGTCTGACTTCAAAGTCTGCCAACCCTTATGGATGCCCATCTGCAGCAAACACTGACGTCCTCTGCGTGTCAACGTTGGGCTCCGCACTGATTCCAGGCCAAGGTCAGGGTCAGTGAAGCCAATGACCACTAGGCGAGCTTTCGCCTTGACGAACTTCGGGTCGTTGGTGCCTTTCAGAACCAAAACCCATCTCATGCGCATGAGGCGCTCTGCTGGTACTGGGCCAATGGCTGCCCTGCAGACTTTTGAGCTGAGCCATTCTTGGATCTCGATGCCTTTGGCTTCTTTCATAGCCTGCCTTTGTTCTGGGTTGAGTTTCTGCCAAGACACTTCTACTCCTTTTGCAAGCTTCTTCGCCACGAATTTTGCAGGATCACGGACAATGGCACGCCATTCACTTTCGTTGGCAGGAGTTGGGATGGTCACCGCAAAGGCATACTCTTCCACTTGATTCAGGAAGATCTCATCCAGGGCCATCTCATCCACAAACATGTTGTCAGGCTCTACAGTGCCCCGTTCCTGAAGGAACTCTTGACGTTGCACATGCTGTGGTCTCTCTGCATGCTCATGACGTCTTCTTGCTTGAAGGAAGAGAGGATGACGGTAGAGTGGTGCTGGATCCGGTTCTTGCTGTAGTAGTTGTTGGGGATCGTGGATCAACCCTTCTGGATCCAAGTCATCTCTTACCTCATGGCGAGGATCGAGTGGATCTTCCTCCTCCATCTCTACTTCGGGCGACATCTCCTCCTCTGGTGGCAGAAACTCCATGCGAGGTCGAGAGGCACTGGCTTGCCCCGTAGATGGTGCATCTTCTTCCTCAATGGATTCTAAGGCTCTCTTGGCGCGGTAGGTTCTTTCGCGCTCCTCTGCAGTCAGTCTGGCCCGCTTGGCTTCCTCTCGTTGCTGGTGGTCGGTCATGATCTCATCATCGAACTCCCCTTTGTTGATCAAACCAGTCAAATCTTGGAACGTCCAAGGAAGCGTCAACTGCGTCGTGCCCTGAGCCACCAATCTCTCTCTCTCTGAAGCATGTCGAAGTTGGTTCACGTGCACCTTCTTCAGTCGTCCTGAGGCAATGATCCAGGCGATTTGGTGCGGTTGTCGAACATGACCATCGTAGCTCACCTTGGTCTCGAGAGCCAGAACTCTTGCAGGACCATACCATCTTGCCACTTTGCGACGTGGAACATCAAGGGTCCGGTGCGATCGTTCTGCTCGATCCGCTGGAGGTTGGTACCTCTTGTAGTAGACCAAGGCTCCTGGGTCATACCGAACTGGTCGAGCCATCTTCGTGTTGTGAGCTTGGTTGATCTTCTCCTTCAAGATGAACTCCCGGTGATGTTTCTCGGCTTCCAGGCGACTGTTCAGTTGCCTTTGCATCTTCTCTGTGTTACCAACTCCAGACCAGTAGGGAAGATCTGGTCCATCATGAAGCCGAAGTGAATCCGTGAAGTTCCTCCCAAAGACCCATTGCGATGGCGAGTAGCCTCCAATGTTCGACAGAGAGTTGTGTGCTCCAATCATTGCCCAAGCTGCCACCTCGGGTGTCATAGCCGATGACCGAAGGTGTGACAGCATCTTTCTCTTCAGAGTGCCAATGAGCCTTTCAACTTGCCCAATCTGACCATGGCTTTCTGCCGGAATGGCATTGACCTCAACTCCATGGCTCTCAGCCCATTCCTCAAAGTGGCGTCCACGGTGTGCACCTTCTTTGTCCAGTTTGATCATCTTGGGGTAACCAAAGTACTGGATCCAACCTCGGTATAGAGCATCCACACATTCCTGCGAGGTTGCATTGCGAGATTGTCCAGGTGTGATCTGGTGCTTGAAGAGGAAGTTGGCTGCCCCGTAGCCTGAAGCTTCATCAGTGATGATCTGGAAATGGTAGGTGTGGTCACCGATGTTGATCTCCATGTTGTCCACTTGGATCACCTCCCAAAGCTCCGTGGCTTGTTCCAAAGTCACAGCTCTCCGTGATGGAGGTATTGCAGCTTCTTGGCAATCTGGACAGTGCACTATTGAGGCCAAGGTGCGAATCAGCTTTCCTGCTCCACGATCACGAAGCATCTTGAGGAACACTTGGCGACTGGGGTGTCCCAACTTCTGATGGAGTTTGAGCACTTCTCCAGCTGTCTTTTGAACTTCTTGGTCCGTGAAGGGCTTGAGAGTGTCCATGTCGCAGTCCTCTGTGGCATTCATGTAGATGGCTTCGTCTCGATCTCCATGAACTTCTTCTACCATCTTTGCAATCTGCTGGCACATCCTGGTTGGATAGAATGCACTCTGCTTGGTCAAGGTGCCACCTTCGCAAGGGACATGAGGACCTTCGCAATGGCAAAGCTTGTGAAGCTTCCAGATGCGGCGTGTAGTCGCCCTCAATCTCCAAGGCTTCTTGATCAGTCCTCCACATGGTGCCTTCAGACCAAAAGCGCATCCATCAGTGTGAGCTTCATGATGTTGGATCTTGTGCCAGAAGTCCTCGATGACCTTGAACTTCCAACCTTTGTTGTGTCGTGGCCACTCCTGTGCCACTTCTCCACCTCGCTTGAGCTGGGCTTCCATCAAAGTCACCGCTCTGGTTGCCAGCTTTCGAGACTTAGCGATCTTGGCTTGGATCTTCTCATAGCCTTCAGGAGTGAGCATGTTCAACTCCTGGATCTGCGAGGTCGGACCACATGGTAGTGCCACCCATACCACATCCGGTTTCTCCTCTTGGATGAGGCTCATAACTTTGTTGAAGCCACTTCTCTTGTTGAGATCACATCCATTGAACAATCCACAACGGATTCCTCGTCCTCCTCGAAGCTCCAGTGCACGAGTGATCCCACTGTTCTCCTCACAGCATAGCTCCAAAACTGTGGGTGGTCTACCATCGTTGTTCGTGGTCGTCAAGGTCATCATGAGCTCCTCAACCTCTTCCAAATAGGTTTCCACCTCATCGACCAGGAAAGTCTTCTCTTCTTTCTCGAGCTTGTTGACGAAGACCTCATTGTCATCCTGGTCTCTCTTCTTTCGCTTGCCGTTGGAAGGGTTGTCCATCCGCAAAATGCCGATGTCTCCTGATGGCAAAATGCTATCAGGGGTGAGATCTCCTTCTCCCTCAGAAGTGAGGTTCTCTTCCAAGACCATCTCGGTCGATTCAGCCATAGGTGGTGGCGATGATGTAGGTGAATTCCATGCCTGTGAAACGGTCATGCTCAGTCCTCGGGCGTTGTCTTCCTCCGACATGTTCTTCACTGTGTCCTTCCGCCCGGCTGACCTGAGATCATCGACCAAGATTCCGACTCCGGACTCTCCGTGAGCCTCTGACCATACTCCAAATCCTCCGCTGTCTCCTCGGGCTTGCGGCTCTTGCGACCAGGCGTGTGGCTCATCTCCTCTGCAAGCAGGACCGCCGGAGTCTTCTCCTTCGGGATTGGTCCGGAAGACATCAAACTTGTCTCCGGTTGATGCTGACTTGAGCTCCCTTGGTCCTTGCCCTTGGTGTAGCCCTTCCCCGGGCCTTTGTCGTTGTCCTTCGACTCGTTCTCCTTGAAGTTCTTGTCTTTGATGGACTGAGTCTTGAGCCACTCTTCTTTCTTGGCCTGGACCATCTTGAGCTGGTCCATGATGCTGCGCTCCTGGGCGTCGTAGCCAATCTTCTTGTTCACAAGGTCGACAGACCCCTTTGCTGGCTTCTTCTCTTCGAGCTGTTTGGTGGTGTCTTGATGTAAAGGGCCAGCTTGTCTGCATAGGCCATGACTGCCCCAGGTCGGCGTGTAGCTGAGCCTCAGTCCGCATGCTTGGCGTCCGGTCCAGCACGCGTACTTGTTGCTCCCCGTGACTGAGCCCTTGCCTGGGAGAGCTTCCACATGCTCTCCGTGGCATGGTGGCCCGGAGGTTCGTGGATCCTCCTTGTCGGGCCCTTGAGTCCTCGACCAGTCGTACTTCTCCTCGGCCGGGATGGCTTTCTTCGTCGATGCCACCTTCTCCTTCTTGGGCGCCATGGCGAGGAGAGTTCGGGGATGCAACGCTCTCTGGGCTGATGAGCTGTTGCAGGATGATGTCTCTCATCTCTTGAGTCACTGAAGGCAACGGATGATGTTCGTGGTGATCATCTAAAAGAAAAACTCCGTCTTGCTGCAAGTCTTCACCTGGACTACCTTCTTCGACTTCATGTCTCATCATCCAAACAACATCACAAGTCAAAGCTGAAGCTGACGACGTGAGCGAAAATGAACTGCAGGAAACATGCTCTGACTGAAAGGAATTGGTGATGAGTGGAGTTGTTTGCAACCACGACGCTCGACAAGGCTCCATGTACACTCGATGGTCTCCAGCGCTCTTCAAAGGTTGACTCACGTTGAGCCAATCCATGGTGAGATTCACCAACAAGTGACCTGCTCGGCTCTTAGCCAAAGGGATCTTCACCTCAGGCGAGATGGCAGAGAGCACCAACCAGCGGCCACAAACATCAATCAACGCTCCCATCTTCTCAAGCGTTTTCATGCCGATCAGGATGGGCACTTTCTCAGCGTCGATCGTGTACACACCAAGTGACACTAATCTATCACCAAGGCGCTGGGGAACCATGACATAGCTTGAGGAGACTTGTACTCCACCATTGCCGAAGCGAAAAGGTTTCTTCGATGAAGGTCCGGTGAACACCTCCACCGGCTCTTGGATTCCATGGACAGTGCTGCGAATCATCATGAGTGCTTCCAAGGCTTCAAGAGAGCCAACAGTTTCTGTGGCCCCCAAATCCAGCACACCATAACCATCGGTATTGTGGATCACCTCATTCTCGTCCATGGCCATGCCCACAAAGGCAAGAGGGGATCCAGTCAAGGCTTCAACCCAGTAGGTCCCTTTCTTTGAACCCTTTCCAAATGAAGAATTCGAGGAAGATGTCCTCTTGGGACAGTTTCGAAAGCCATGTCCTTTGTCTCCGCAAATGAAGCATCCCACACTCGAAGAGGTCGATGTTCCACCATCTTGACCTTGAACTGCAAATAGCGGCTTAGGCTGCATAGACGAAGAGCTCGAGGAGCTAAAACTTCCGCTCCCCTTTCCTTTCTTGAACTTACCTTTTGATTTTCCTTTCTTGCCCTTCATCATTCCGAGGGGGTAGAATCCTCGGCTAGCACCCTTTGCTCGCTGAAGTTGTCGACTCTGCATGAAGGTGCGAGCTTTGTTCTCATAGGCCATATAGGCTTCATCCAGCTCCTTGACCTCCTCGGGGTTCAGGTCGGAATAGCCTTCATCTGCGCTCCAACAGGCTCCATGTCCATCGGTCTCGAGCCAGTACCCATAGGCATCTTGGCAATATCCATGCCATCCATCAACTTCCCAAGTCCAGAACACATCGTCCTCCTCAGTGTCCAAGGAGCTGCCAACACCTGGGTCGTATACTTCAGCAGGAAGTTGAGGTCCAACCCAATGGATCTCCGCTGCATCATCCACCTCCTCAGAAGTCGTGGCCATCAGGCCCCATTGGCCTTCTTCTTCAACCCAGTAAGTGCGGCGCTTGCCATGATGCTGTCCTCGAGATTGATCCGCTTGAAGAAGTTCTTCTTCTTGATCTCGTAGCGCCACCTCAATGTCCTGGAACTTCAGGGAGTTGTTCACGGAAGCCTGCACCGACAAACGTGATGCAGCACTCAAGTTGGCTCGTCGAAGCAAGAGCCAACCGAGCACTTCGTCCGGCAAGACCTGAATCTCTTCAGTTTGCAGCTCATCCCAAGGAAGATCTTCACCCGAACTGGAGTCGTCGTCGTACCAGTCTTTGCGTTGTTGCCTCCTCCAGTCTCTCCACTCAGCGTCAGTCCAACCTTGACCGACGTGGTCATCTTCATCATCACGTTCATGAGGATCTCGTTGAGGGATCGCGGCATAGTCACCTTGCTCATCCTCAGACTCTTGAATGGTCGCCTGAGGGTCCGCTCCATATCCAGCCGTTCTGCGTGTTGGGCTCGGGGTCGTCCGATGAGTAGGGCTCGAAGTGGGTGTCCTCCTCGTCGGAGATGTAGGAGGCTCTTGATGCGGCTCCGAGACACTCTTCACCTCTTCTTTGTCCTTGGATCTCTGAAGCTGTCGTGCCCTGATGAGAGCTCTCTGAACCTTCCTGTAGCCCTCGAGGACCTCGTTGGCCCATTGACTCATGGCCATTCCTAATGGCCTGCGTAGTCGGATCAGCAGATCCTCCAACCTTGCTCCAGCATCTGGGATGGCCGTGCGGCAAAGGCGCTCCTGGAGGTACTTCAAGAGATACTTGGTGCCATTGCGCTTCCCAAGTTTGCTGTGGTCCAAGCTCGGAGTCACAGCCCATGCCCTTCCAGTGAGCTTGCTGGCCAATTCCGGCCCCAAGAGCTTGCGTTTGTGCTTGGGTGTCTTCTCCCAGCAAAGGCGAACCTGTCGTGCATAGTCATTCCAACCTGTTGGTTCACCATTCCAACTAGCAACCTCTTTGAAGTCTTTCGAACTCATGAGGTCCTTCTCAAACAGGTCGAGGGAGGTGACCAGGGAGTAGAGCTCTCCTCAGCAGCAGGCAGCAGCGCCAGGAAGAGCTTATCGGAATCCTCGAGGATGGAGTTCTAGCGTAGTCGTAGGCGAGGCCACCGTTCTCAGAGAGGTCGGCCTCGAAGGACTTGATCTCAAAGCCCGGTCAGCAGACCGAGCGAGCCAGGCAGGACCGCCCGGCTCCGCTACCAATGTCAGGTAGCCGGTGGCACACGAAGCGAAGTAAACTTGGTACACTTCTCGATGCAACCGAAGGCGGTCTTTTCCACCTATGGCGAACAGCGAGGGTCGCGGGGTCCGGCCTGTAGTCAGGCCTGGGGCATCTAGTGCCACAGTTGGCCGAAGGGATCCCTTGATGGCAGCGGAAAACATCAAGGGTCAAGGCATGAACGATCCGGAAGCGAACTTGTCGAATTCGAAGCAAGAAACTTCACACGAAAGAAGTTGTTGAGAAAATGACACTCTGGCAAGAAAATTAGTCTCAACTTGAGCTCAACATCAATCAAGAGTCTAGCCAGATTCGGTACTCCTGCTCCCTGGCAGAGACCTGCAGCTCATTTCCAGCTGGATTGAGAAGCTGCAGTGTGAGCGGACCAGCTGATCGTGCAAACCGTCATGTCATTGCAGCAGTCACATCTGTTATGTGCATACCGTTACCGGTGCTTCTCTTTGTTTCTATGCTCAACAAGTGAAAAAGACTTAAGCCAGCTCAAACCTACCTCCACTTGTTCTTTGTAAGCTTTAGTGCATCAGTGTGAGGAGCCTCCTTGTGTAACGCAGCCTTCTTCTCGGACACCAATTCCTGTGAAATTGTCATAATTGACTCAGCTTTGACAGCATCCCAGTCCCACCAACGTATACAAATAGGACTCAAAGTGGCAACTGTTCAGCATGTTCAGTATTTTGTTCAGGCTTCAAGTTTCAGCAGAACAAAGCAGGCCACTAGCTGTGCAAACAGTTTGATCTAGTAACGTGTCATCGCTTCACCAAAGCCACAGGCGTGCATCGTACAAAAAGGTCTTGACGGTCTTGATCAGGTTTGATCGAAGAGAACTCCAAAAATCGAATTTTCGCCTCGCCTCGACACTCTTCCCATCGAACTTGTAGAGAGGTGCCACCCCTGGCCGAGCAGCCACCGCCTGGCCATGTTGGTCAAAAGTGGAGTACAGGTAGCTACTAGCTACTTAAACTCCTAGGTAGGACGCATGATAGCTCACGCACTAATGATTCGGTTCCTAGATTGATAGGGAGTGGGAGGAGTGTGCAGAATGGTGAAGATCTGATGGCTGCAGAAGCCGCCACTCGCAATCTGATACTTTGTGAATCAAAAACCCTTTCCGCACAGCAAACGGCCACTGGCATTAGACGCCAAGGAGACATGAAAGGATACCCTTACTTGATGTGCGATGCATGTGGCAAGGATTCAGACAGAAGGGAGCCACATAGGTATCGGATGTATCGTGCACAAGCATGACGTCTTTAGGCATGTGCTCATCGTGTCCATCTCAAAAGTTTGGGACTTGAGATTGAAGTTACTAGTAGCGATGGCCTCCACCTAATAGCGTCCTTGTTACTAGTAGCTTGAAGTTATACTATGTTATACTTCCATTCCAAGAACTTAAAGGCATCCGAAGAGAATCGAAATACAGGATGCCGATGAAATGCACTACTGGTCACTACTTGTGGAGCGTGGGGAACATGTGTCAAGTGTCATCTGTTTGGACCTTCACACTTTTCGGATCCAAACGCCAGCAGACCGGTTGGGAAACGCTTCATGCGAGATTGACCGAACGGATCAGCAGCTTGCCATTTCTCTGTGGTTTCAACTGCCTGTTTTGCATCGGCCAGCCAGTTCCAATATTCCTTCTCCTTCTCCTGAAAATGTCCATGGTTGAGACACTTTAACTTGGGATTGTTACTTTATGTTGCTAGCTCCCAAAGAAAGTCCAAGATCAAGCCTTGAATCCGGCAGCCTTGTTTTCAAGCTCCTCCGCGAAAGAGGCAAGGAATGGGCTAATGATGCTAACGGGTCGATCCTTCTCAAGCCTTTCTCATGCGTTTGCGTCCATTGTTCAGATGTCTTCAGCACATTGGACGCACTACCGTCCTTTTGAAGTGAAGCCTGCATCTCCTGACTGTATCTCACAGAAAAGACGCTTCACTTGCAAGCGGCTGACATAGATTCAATGTTGCACACTTGGAGTCAGTGTCCCCTAAAAGCGGCCACTTCGGCAAAGCTCGCTGCCAGTTTTCTGTTGTTCAAATCATCGATCTCATTTCGCCTGTGGGTGCAGCACACATCTTCATGCATCTCTGTACCAGAATAGCACAAATCACACATGAATATCAAAAAAAAATCTGGAAAGCCGGCAAAACTGCGAATGCCCCACCTTTGCTGCAACTTTTCTTGAATCCGTTCTTGCTGTCGCTCCTCCATCTCCTCAAAGCACGCAACAATTGGAAGTGGGATGTGTTCTGCCTCGATTCTAAAGCCCGTCCTTGAGCCAATTCCTTGGGTCACTTCGCACATGGAAACACCTTTGAGGCCTCTCCACCTGAAAACTCTCCTTGAGAACCAGTGCTATTTGGAGGCTGTTTGGCAAAAAGCAAAGGAATTTATGAATTTTTTGCTCTTGAAAACTGCAAGGGCTCAAGGCCCTGTGACATCCTGCCCCATCCGTTCGACTTGCTCCAAGGTGCTGATACTTCTCGTCCGTCTCCTGCAAAGCTCGTTGGCCCTTCTCGACCTCTGCATCAGCTCAACGCCGGACACAACGCAAGCAGTGGTAAAGCATACGCCTACACACGTACAAATATATATATACTGTATATGTATATACACACTGTATTATATATAAAGAGCGGGTAGTCATGGGGGTGGGGTTGAGAAAGTGATTGTGTAAGGTGCTTCTCTTTTTGCAGACGATATGACATGTATAGGGTTGTGAAAGTTGTTCTTTTGTAAGGTGTTGCTCTTTTTGGGTGATGATATCACATTGATAGGATTGTGAAATTTGTGTGTTTTTTTGCTCTATGTGCAGTTGGTAAGCATATTTGTTCATTCAACTATGTACTACAAAAAGGTCTAAACCCATAAGGTTAGGTGTTTACTAAAAAGTTCTTGGATGTAGCAATCTAATTCCACGCAGCCCCCATGCACAACCATATTTCTTGCTTTTAGAGTGTGAATTGTATTGCTCTTATTGAATGCAGTTAGGTGTAAGTACATCAGAACCAGAAGGCAAGGAATTACAAACCCTAAATCACCAAATTCCAATTTGAATTCAAATTTAAGTCTATTTCAATTATGTTTTAATTCTACGTTGATTCAAATTTCCTTCACTATGGAATCTAATATATTTGGGATTCAATGCGAGCCAAACTTTAATTTGATTTCAAGCTAACTCTAATTTCAGTGCTAAACTATTCAGATTCAGTTCTAATATGTTATTTCTTTTTTAATTTAATTTTAGTTGTTATGAAATTCTCATGTACTTCTAGGGGATTGGTGTTGCTTTGAACATGAGATGTCTTTATGAAGTTTTTCCAACATGGAAGCACTTTGCTTTCTTAAATGAATTAAATTCACACCCCCAGCAACACCCACTCTCTAGAATGCAATTAAACCTCAATTAGAATTCCATTTGCATTGAATTGGAATCAAGCTAGACCCAAAATAAGAAATATATAAATCACAACCAAATTGCAATGACAATAATGTAAAATTAGATGTGTAAAACAATTTAATCTGAGATGTATAAATGTATTAACATTGGAAATCACTTGCAAGTAAATTGGAACAGACAAAATTACCATTGAATCCAACACAGAATGAAATAGAACTAAATTAGAAATACAGTAAGTTTCAATAAGTTGGAATTGAATGAACAACATTGAATCAAAACCCCTTACTTAAGTTGAAATTGACTTAGACCTAAGGTAGAATTGAATTAGAGTCATTTAACCTAGAGCTTGGTTAGTTGGACAGTATTGACTTAGAATTAGCTTATAACTAAATTCAATTAGAATTGGGCTAGAATAAGATTGCAGACTCAAATTTGAATTCAATTACAAAGAATTCAATTAGCCTCAACTTAGAATAAAAATTAGAAGCATATTGCAGATTCAAATTTAAACTCAAATGTGAATTTAATATTAGATCCAAAGTAGTCAAACATAATTAGAATTAAATCAGAATAAAAATTCAATTAGAATTTGACTACAATGAAGTTTAAAATACATAGACTTACGTTAGAATTCAATTAGGCTCAACTTAGAATCAAGTAGAAGTATGTTACATACTCAAGTTAGATTCAGTTTGAAGTTCACTTAGACTCAAATTTGAATATACATAGAAATTGATGTGAAATTCAATCAGAAATCGAATTGGCTTAGAATTTAGTTAAATTGTATTGAAGTCAAAATTCATAGAATTAAATTAGAATTGAATTAGTGATTAAATATAAATCAATGAGAAAAAATGCTGGTGGTCAGTAATAATCCAGGATCAAACCAAAACCTTGAGAAAACCAACGCAAAGAAACACAGAAAGCAAGAAAGACACTGTTAAAACAGAAAAAAACATCAGACCCATGGAGAGGGACCCAAGAGAGGCTGGACAGGAGACACAGGTCTGTTTTTTTGTTTGTCCTTTGGGTCTGGACTTGTTGCTTTTTTGTTTTTCGGTTTGTCTATTGTGTTCAGAAGCTATTTTGCATTTGCTAAATCACTACCCTCACAAAAACCTGCGTTTCTACAATCTACACCACTCCACCCCCCATGGCTACCCCTTCTGTATGTATGTATATATATACATATACTCACAGCGAACTGCGTGCGGGGCTGCACTCGCTCCTTTTCAGAAAGCTTGAGCGGATCAAGGCGCACCTGCGAACGGAGAACCACCTGAGTCATGAACCTGTCAGGCGTGAACAGATTGCAAACTCTCACTGGTCTTTATATTTTTTTCGTGACTCAGGGCTCACCAACTGGGTATAGGGCTGGTTCAGCCATTTGCGAAACTGATCTCGCACCTCCTTTGTGGCTTTTGTCAAGCCATCAGCCCACTGCACACTAGTGGGACACCATCTGATGGTTTTACCATCTATGAACTGCTGAATGCTGCGGATGTCCACGTAGGTGCGCTTTTCTGAGGTCTTTGGGTGCTCTGCCGAAATGGCGTCGCGCAGACTCTTGCAGTCGGTAACTTGGAGTTGGTTGAGCCTCCAGGATGACAGATCTTTGGATGGCTTCTCGCCCGTCAGGAGCTCTGCCACCATCAAGTTGGCAAAGTAGCTGCGATCGACGCAATCGTCGCACGCCATGGCTTCACTTGCCAAAGTCGACCTGCAGACTTGGGCTGACTTGTTGCTTCGCCAGTCGATGAGGTTGGCTCTCGTGTTCACCTCAGTGCAATGAGGTGTGGTGAGCATGACAAGTGCGCCCTGTTGGCTGGCACACTGAGCTGCGTTAGCCCAGGAGGCATCGGCATAGCCCACGATGACCGAGGCCTTGTTTATGGCCACATCTGGTGGAGCGGCAGTACTCCAAGCATTCGTAGAGCTGCGCAAGCTCTGCTGGTGAGGTGTCTGCTCCCTTGTTGCATAGGGAGATGGCGGAGGCGATCTCTGGCTTGGTTTGGCTGGCAACCACTGCAATGATCCGGTCACGGATCTGCTCGGCTGTGGTGAGGGGTCCTCCTTCGGCGATTCTTCCTCGCCCGAGCTTCCTGCTTGTGGAGTTGTCCACGAACTTGTCCTGCGTGACGTGCAGGTGGTAGGCAACGCCGTGTGCCTTGAGCGTGAGCTCTTTCCCCTTGAAGTCTCAGACAGCTGTGTCTGGCTTCCCCAGTTGAAGAGGGAGAGAAGCTCCTCTTTCTGGTAGGCGCTCTGGCATGTCATGAGGAAGTCATCAACATAGACGATGCAGAGCGAGACCAAGCGATCGTCCTGTCGCTTGTAAACATCATCTTATCGAGGTGGTGCTGGATGTAGCCTGCGGACTGCATTCGCCTGATCACTTCTCTTGACCAAGTGCGTGGTGCACTTGCTAGGCCGTATATGTTCTTGAGCACCTTGTAGAGCCTTGCCTGGAATGTTCCAGCTCTGAGGGTGATTTCGTCCTGTGGGGGCAGGAGGTAGAGTGCCTCGGGACGTTCATTGTTTTCGAAGGCCCCCTGCATGAATGCCGTGCTGACGTCTCCAGCCCATAAGATCCACGGAGTTGGATCTCCTTCCATCAGGCCATTGATGCCGGCCGTGAAGATGCTTAGGAGGATGTACTCCGAGACTCATTGGAGTCGGGCTGTCCCTTGAGACCCGATGGAGATCTGGGTCCAGGTGGCCCAATGCGACCACGCGGGTCTTTGCGACCAACTTGCTTGGGACCTTGCTTTTGTTTCGGTAGCATGCCCGGCTGCGAAGGACTCGGCGTCGCCTGGCTGGGTTGTTGAGGATGGCCAGTGCTTCTTCGTCTGGGACTGCCTCAACTGATCCCCATTCCATCCAGCCTCTTTCCTCCTTTTGGGCTGAGGCTATATATGCCTGGATGTCATCGGGAGCTTCATGATGCTCCGCCAGGGGATTTCTCTTTCGAACGCTTTCGCCTCTTTGCGGCTCATGAGGCGCGATGCGGGGTCCGTGCCATCATCAGGACCTGAAGAGTCCGCATCAGATTCTTCTTGTGACCCGGTGAGGTCTGACAGGAGGACGGCATGTCCTTCGTTGAGCAGGAGTGGCAATGCTGCTGTGCCGTGCATTGACCAAAATGGTCGGTGGAGAGCCATCCCATGTTGTGTGTGGAGGCTCGATGCCGGTATGCTGCGCTGCAAGCATTGCTTCATGTGTCCTCTTCTGTGGTAGCATGGGCAGTGGTTCACTTGCTGATGCGGTTGCTTGTGGCGCCGCTGCCGACGCTGATGCTTTTGTTGGCTCGATGTAGAGCTCGAGAACTGTGTTGCGGTCGATGTCGACCTGTGATCGCCTGTTGTTTCTGCCGTTGGCATGTCTGCCGTGTGCTGCGCCTGTTCTGCCGTGCCAGTGTTGTCGGTTTGCTGTTCTTGCTGAGCTGCCTGTGTCACACTTCCTGCCGGCGCAGTTGCAGGTTGTGTGGGTGGTGCCTGTGCTCGCGCTTGTACTGGTGGTGTTTCTGGCACCGGTGTAGTCCACGCTCCTCGTGTGGGCGTCCTCGGTGTCCGGGGTGCCTCTGAGGTGAGTCGAATTCGACGGTTGGTCGGTGTGCGAGACCTTGCCGCGCGGGTGAGACCAAAACGCTCTGGGTGGTAGTCCAGCGGTGTGATTGCTGAATCTACGGGAGCGTGACCAGCTGTTGGCGATGCTGGATATGAGTGGATGTGGATTCCACTCAGGTGCAAGTTTGTCGTTGCCTCTTGCTGTATGTGTTGCTCTGTCACCTGTTGCACACGTTGCTGGAATGTAGGTGGTGTGCTCTTTGCCCGCGAGGTGGCTTGTGATGCCTGCGGGTGATCGTGCTCTTGTGGCGGTGGTGCCAGAGGTAATGCGAGAGGCATTGGTGCCTGCGCCGCTGGTGCTTCTGCCGCTGCTGCGTTGTCCTCGAGGTTGTCCAGCTGGTACTCATAGGCATCCTCGTCTCTGGGCGGCGCAGTTGTGGTCTTCCCAGAGGCCTTGCCGTATGTTGCGCGCTGCTTCTTTGAGGATCTGCTGGTCCTCACGTGAGGGTTGCCAGTGTTCAAAAATGTTCAAAACCAACTGCTCCTCGGAGTTGTTCC